ATATTCAAGCCCAGACTCCAGTTTTCGCAGGACATTGCTGTCCTTCTTGGAGTCTGGCTGTGCAAGGCAAAGTGACCCCTTTTACCTATGCTGGTTCAGGTTGGGTTTCTGACCCTTGGGATCCAAAGGGCTCCAGTTGACCTGCCCCCCCACCCAGAGTCAACCCAAAGGGTGTATTTCCTCCTAGGAGAAAGGAGCAGCGTAGTTACTTCACATGCCAGAGCACTGATGGATAAACTGCTTTTCATCTCGACAAGCCATTTCTGGAAAATAATTAAAAATGACAAGTAACGCCGCTGCTGACGCCACTTGACAGATGCGTACCTCGTAAGAGAAAGAACGGAATGTTTGCTAATAACTGACTTCCTCTGTGACATCTGTGCTCACAGAGATATTTCAAACAAAATTGTTTCCTAATCGTCAAAGCCAGTGGCCGTTCTCCTCCTTCTCTGACGTCTCAAGTTCCCTTGTCCAGCTGTGTGTGTCACTGGAGCCCTTTCCGTTCCTCGGGAAACTGTATCTCATCCGCTGCAAGTTTCCATGAACTGAGCTCCTCCCTGTCAGCGGCCTGCTCCCCCGTGCCCTTCCCGCCGGCTCGCCTGTATCCCCACCTCCCCCTGTCCTGACAGCAGTTTCAGGTGAACTTCTTTTACTAAAATAAGTGCCTCTGTTTCCGAACTCCACAGCAGCAATTTGGTTCTCCAGGTAGGCTGGATGTGTTCTGATTCCAAATGAAACCAACTGACTCTTTTTTTCAATTGACGTAGAGTCGGCATGGAACGATGTGTAAGTTTAAGACGTACAATGTGTTGGCCCGACACCTTTATGTATGGCAATAGCACTGCCACCTGAGCTGGATGACACCTTTGTCATGTCATGTTTCTTCTTCGGGGTGGGAACAATGAAACGGTTGTCTCTTAGCAACTCCAAAGTTTCTAATACCGTATTGTTGTCTATAATCACTACACTGTGCATTACCACTGCAGGACTCATTTACCTACTGGTTTCAAGTCTATACCCTTAAATAACACATCCTCAGTTCCCACCCCCGCCCCCTGGAACCAGAGCCCCTGGTAACCACAATGGACTTTGAGAGTAGGAATTCCACTAAGGTCTCCAGTAGACTATAACCCCCTTCAGGGTAGAGAAGTATCTTATTTATCTACATCCTTAGGACTCAGCTTGGCATATACTACATAGTCAATAAATGTTGAATGAATGAATGAATGAATGAGTGATTTTAGTCATCTTCTAGAGAGGACCATTCTCAAATGCACCAGGTAACTAAGCAACATCCAAGCTTGGGGCTGCGTGAAGGCCCGCCATCCCGGGTCCTAAAGGCAAGACTATTACAATTTGATCAGAAAAATCTGAGAGACACGATGATAAACTCAAGCAGCCGTAGATGAGGAGCACCGAAAAGGTTTACTCTCTATCAGAGACCCTGGTCTCACGCGGACTTAGACCCAGCTCTGCCTAGAAGATGGTAATGTGTCGGAAGCCCCAGAGCGCCGGGAAAGTGGCCTACCTGCAGAGAAGGGGAGGGAGCGCAGACAGCCCGATGGCAGCGGGCAGGCTCTGAGATTGCTACAGAGTCGCTGCTTGAGCAGAATTAAGCAGTTTTAGCAGGTATATTACCTCTTTTGTTCAAGCAGGGAAAATGGCATTTTCTGAATTGTGTCAGGACCTATTTTGTCCTTAAATTTGATGGAGGTTCCTGCTAAAAAAAGAAGAAGGCTTGGGACCCATCCAGGATGGGAATTTCAAATTCCATGAAAACATCAACAACGGTACTTTATCATAGGAGGCATGTCCCCGAGGAACGAGAAGAAACAACCTCTTATTTGACTGCTGGACAAGGAAGCTTATAGAAGATGCCAGTTTTTTGAGGCTTGACCTCCACAGAGAAGAACCATTCCTTGAGAAGCAAGGAGAAGTCTGGGGAGCTGGCAGTGCGGGTTCTGCCACCCGTCGGCCGGCGGCTGGTGGCCGGCGATGACAGAGCGATGCAGGGGCGAAATCAGACACCGAGTCAGACGGACCTGGGCTCCAATCCTGCCCCTGGGTCTTTATTAACTGTGGAGTACACAAAGCCTTTTTAAACGACTTCTCCTCGGGTTTATTGTTTCCACCAAAAGTGGCCTCTTCCTTCCTCCTCCTGCAACAGAGAAATTGCTTCAACCTAGTTCTGAGCTTGGACCTGTTTCCCAAGCAGTCTGCTGGGCTGAGGATGTTAAGTTTTACCGGGAACCCGTTTGTCGTGCAAACAAGCATGCGCTCTTTCCCGAGGGCCCTGGCTCTGCAGATTGTTAAACTCTGTTAAACCCTTTGTGGGAGTTCCTGGGAATGAATACAATGTGTCTGTATCCATTTCATCATTGGATGCCTGACCTGTTTTATAGAGCCATCTCTCCCTGTCGGTAACTCAGCCCAGTCCGGTCGTGTCTAATACATTCCTAGCCGAGATACGAGAGCTATCCTCTTGCTGCTCTCCTTGAAGGATCTTCTTACTCCTGGCTTAACTGATCCTCCCACATGGGGAGCCGGGGCCAGGGAATGCACACTGGGATTATCAGGACAAGGTTAAGGCCGACCGCTGTAGCAAGTCGCCGCCGTCCACTCAAAGATTGATGGGACGCCTTACTGAGCTCCTGTTGCTTCATCCCAGGCGCCGTGCTAGACGCCGAGGTCACAGAGACGAACGAAAGGCGGGGCCCCGCCCTCAAGCTGCGGGCCGCCCAGCCGGCGGCTGCTGGAAGCACTGGTGGAAAGCAGACCCGTGCTCTAATTCTGACGCTGCGTTTTACTAACTGTGGCAATGCAGACAAAGGCTCCCCAAGTTTCATTTTCCTCATCTGCACAATGGGAACAATAGCCCCACCTCACAAGGTGGATGTGGTCTTTAAGGAGATGAATTACAACCCTTGGCACAGAGGAGAAAGCACTCAGTAGACGCCATCTATGATGTCACTGTCACCATCATCCCGGGAACAGCCATGTATATGAACAACTACAATGTCACCTGCGACGGCTGGGGACAGGGCAAGACACCACCAGAGCGTCACCCGGGATGGCGATGAGGAAGGAGAGCTGCAAGAGCAGGAGAATGACACCAAGCTGAGCCCCGGAGGACAGGGGGAGCAGGGAGTCGGGCCTGGGAGTGTCGTTCTAGGAAGACAGGAGAGCGGCACATGCGAAAGCCTGGAGGCAATGAGAAGAGGCCCTTTCAGGAAACGGCAAGCGGCTCCGTACGTCTAGGGTCTAGGGAGGGGGTCAGAGAGGTTGTGAGCAGGGGAGCGGCCAGGCTGTCACCCCGCAGTTGCCGCAGGGTCACGCACAGCCGCTGTTACACCCCTGTCCCCACATCAATACCAGGTGGTCCCGTGTCCCTTAGGAACCTTCTCGCTTGCCCTTGGGCTTCAGAGATTCGGGTGTTTCTTTCAATTTGCCATTTCTTCCTGCGCCAGCCACTGGAGGCGTCAGAGGGAGGGGCAGGGTTCTGAGGTCACATTTAGGAGTTGCCCTGTCGGGGGGACCTGCTCCAGTGCTGGACCAGCCTGGAAGTTCCTCCGACTTCAGACAGGTAGGAGGAAGTCCTTATGTCCAGGAGAGGAAAGGAAGCACCACCCAGTGATCAGCAGCTGCTGCAGGAGCCATGCCTGTGGTCAGTGTCTCTTCTTCCCACTGATGACTTTGACCAACTACGGCTTAGAAGGAGGAGGAGGAGCTTCCAATCTGCCACAATGTCCTACCGGGAGGTTCAGTCAAAACAAGTCAACAGGCATTAACTGAGCATGCACTTTGTGGCCAGGACTGTGCTAGGCTCTGTAGAGAAAGATCCAGGCAGTGTACTGAGACCCGAGGGGTGATCTAAAGGCCAAGTCCACAGTTACAAGCCTGTAGGCACAGCAGAACCAGAAGCCCAGAGTCCATGGTCTCTCTGATACATGATGCTGCCTTTCTGGCACTCAGCATGGCCAGTGTAGCTCAGGAATAAAGTCCAAGAGTGGCCCATTGCGACACTGCTCGTGTTGTTGACTTAATCTCAGTAATCCTGACACAACAGAGGATTGCGTTCAGCCAAGGGGAGGCATAGCGGTTGGCCCTGCGAAGCAGAAAGAGGTACAATATGACCGGCAAACCGCTGGCCAGTCCGGTGACTCCAAAGAGGTCAAAGCGGGGGCTGCCAGTCAGCGGAGCTCTGGGCGAACCAGGAGAAAGCCTGCTCAGCTCTCGCATCGGCCCTGGGGCGGGGGGGGGCAGGGGGGAGTCAGTGGGTTGCTAAGGAGACACACTCTCTTGCCTGGGCCATGAGGAACAAAAGGCAATTCCTGGAAGTCGGGAAGGTGTGTGGACCATTGGGTGGCCGTCGCGGGATTTGTTCATCAGTGCACCCACGTCTGGGGTTCCGTCTCACATTGTAGTCGGGGTGCAGGGGGGGAGGAGCAGCACAGAGAGAGAGAGAGAGAGAGACGGGGTGGGATTCGAAGGCAGACGACTCCAGGAGACGATACAGCGATTTTCAAACCTGTTCCTCTCACGGCACACGTAAACTAATTACTAAAATTCTGCAGCACCAAAAAAATATATATATTTTGCTGATCTGACAAAAAGTACAATTTTCATTCATTCACATCAGATAGCTATTGCTGTTATTTTTTTATTTTTATTTTTTATAATCTAAGGGAAAAGAGGTAAACACCCCCCACTAAATAGCCAGGTACTGCATGTTTTAAAAATTGTTGCGGTGCATGGGTTGAAAATTGCCGGACTAATAGAATGAACTTAAATTAGCCTGGAAATTCACTTCAAGACTCATGTGTCATCTGGTTCTGTTATCTTTAACAGATTTTTTAAAAAAGACTTTATTTATTCTTAGAGAGAGGGGAAGGCAAGAAGAAAGAGAGGGAGAGAAACATCCATATGTGGTTGCTTCTCCAGCACCCCCTATTGGGGGACCTGGCCCACAACCCTGGCATGTGCCCTGACTGGGAATCGAACTGGCGACCCTGTGGTTTGCAGGCTCACGCTCGATCCACTGAGCCACACCAGCCACGGCTGGCTCTCGTTACCTTTAGACACAGAGATTTCATTTCAGACACAGTGAGGACTGTCTGTGTAACGCTAAAGGAGAAGCTATAACGAGACTACCTCTCAGAGGGACGAAGTGGAGAAGGAGCTTCAAGTCCAGTTAGTTGCCTGGGAAAGACCAGCGCCCACAGACTTGCACAGAGTGGGAGTGGGATCCACATGAACACATTAACGGCGGGGATCGGGCCCAGAAGCGGTCGCGGAATGGCAGCCGCTGCTGGCTCGCTCCAGGAACGTGGGGTCCAGACCCTCTCGCGGCCTCCACCTGGGTCTCCCTGCCTGTGGAAGAGAGATGACTGATAGCTTCCCTGCACCTGCCTCACAGAAGCATCGGGAAGATGAAAACGGCGGCATGTTCGCGTGCCCCGAGACCTTGGAAAGACGCCTGGGGTGGGTGAGGGCTGGGTGTGATTCTGCCATTATCGCGATCGCCTCTCACGTTATCATCGCAGAAGACCACGCTTGCAGAAGCAGGCTGGCCGTCTTGGCACCAATTTCTGCCCAAGTCGTCTTCCTCCCTTATCTATCTCCACCCCGATGGACGTGAAGCCGATGGAACTGGTCTGCTCCGTCTCCCTCCGAGATCATGAGCATCCTGAGCTTGGATTCCCTGCTTACATCTGCCCCCTGAACATTCTTCCTCGTCTTCTCCACCTTTCTAAAGCCAGTCCTTCTTGCAAGGTCTAACTCAGCGTTCCCCTCCCCCGTGAGGTGACTCCCTTTCTCACCCGGCACTGTGGGAGGGCTCTCCAGAAAACAGAACCAGCTCGGAAGGAGGTGTTACGACGGACTGGCACATGCAATTATGGATACCGAGGAGTCCCACCATCTGTCGTCTGCAAGCTGGAGGCTGAGAAAGCCGATGGTGGAGTTCTAGTCCAAACCCCAAAGCCTGGAAACCAGGGGAGGCAATAAGTCAAAGTTCAAGTCCAAGTCCAAGTCCAAGGTCAAAGGCCTGAGAACCAGAAGCCCAGATGTCTGAAGGCAGGACAAAAATGAGTATCTCCAGGTCCAAGAAGCCTTTCCCCGGGTCCTGGTCCTAGTGACAAGAGCTCCTTCTATCCTTGCCAGTTTTTTTTTAGACTGCTGAATAGGGGAAAACATGATTTTTTTAAACCATATTTTTTAAGTTTAAATTGGCCTCACACAAGGAAACAAAACATACGCTGTTCAGAGGCCGGGAGTGAGAAGTCTGAGCATTCACTGCCCAGTGCTGCAGTTGGCCCACGGTCGGTGTTCCCGCTGCAGAAGGCGTCGTGGGTCCTGCCGCCGCCTCCAGCGTGGGCGGAGTCGGACAGCGAGTCGGCTCCTCTGTGAGGGGCTGATCCCGTTCTCCTCCTCAGCAAAGTGGGTGTGCAAGTCCCGGCTTGCTCCCCGCACCCCGAGTCTCTGGAAGGAGATCTGTTGCCACCCACGACACCCTGTGCAGTCCTTAAAGAGTCAATGTCCCTTTCGTCAGTGGCCCTGCTGGTTGACCGTCGACTGGCCACTTGTCAAGAGAAGACGTGTCTCAGGCAGGGTGAGCTGACAGTTTCCCGGGCAGCCTGGCATCATCTGAAACCTCCCCAGGGAGGCCTGTGGTTTTTAAATTCCCTTCCCCCAGGAGAAAAAGAAGACGAAGACGAGGAAGAAGAAGAAGAAGAAAAAGAAGAAGAAGAAGAAGGCAGCCTTCCCTCCGCCTGAAAAAGCGCAGGAGAAACGACTCACACAACTTCGGACTTGGCTGCTAGGAAAGGGTGGGCAGGTGGGGGAGAACCTGGTTACACCTGTCAGCCCAGCCCCCTTGGCTGAAACTACCCGGGAAGGCAGGCCCCGCCCTCAGGCCGGGATGTCCTACTCACCAGCAGCCCTGCTGGGGGCCTGCCCGAGCTCTCGCCTCCACTGGGTCAGGGGAACACAGCGCTGGCTGGCGGGCTGGACTCTGACACCTGTCCCAGAGTGCTCCTGACAAAGCACGGCGTGTGTCACTGCCACCTGACTCTGATGAATGGGCCGAGGGTGCCAAGCTCCAGGGCGGAGGATGATGTGGCAGAGGGTGGCTGAGGCGGCGTGGGGCCGTGGATCTGGTCCAGCATCTGCTGAGGTCCTTGTGACCGCGGTCCCCGCCCCACTGCCCCTCTTTCCCTCTCCTTTGCTGCTGCCACGAACTCGGCCCAGGAGTCAGAATAGCACGTGGGGGGGCTGCTCTGCTCCCACCTGCGCAGGTTCTAGCCCCAGCTCCTCCACTGGGTAGCAGTTTGTCCTTAGGAAAACAATTTAATTTCTCTGTGCATCAATATCCTTAAATCCATCTATAAAACGAAGGTGAAACAATGATGCCCACTCCAAGGCCCAGGAAAATTAAGAGTTAATGTGACCTAAATGCACAGGGCCTGCCTCAGGGCGCTGCTCGGTACCTGGCAGTATTAGGCGATTATTACAATATGGACCCCACAGCCCTGTGTCTGTGCCTCACCCAGAGGCAGGAAGAGGGCATTAAAGCACATTAAGTTGCTAAATAATGTAGCCAGTGCCCCACCCCTACCCGTGGGCCAGCTGTCCCAGGTCCTTGGGGAACTTGTGTTACTTCTGTAACTGCCTTTAGGAAGCCTCAGGATTGAGCTTGACTTTGTAGCATTCCTACCTGGCTCAGTTTTTAAAGCGGCAGTGACCTCACTCCGACCTCTGCCCTGCCTCCCCCACACTCCGCAGGTACGCTCTCCAAGGGACAGAATTCATTTAGACTTTTTTAGCTTTCCTGGCCCTTTAGTGAACTCTACTTTTAGTGAATTGGGGCCCAGGCGCCAAATCTGTTCTCTCTGCCTGGGACCTGGTGTTTCAGGAAACTGAGGCCTCCGCCAGCTGTGGCCATGAGACCAAACCAAACCAGTTCACGTTCGTAGACGTCTGCTTCTCCGGGGGGCTGTTCCCTAAACTACCGGAGGGACGCGTGGAGACGGCGAGACCCCAGAAAGCCCACGGCCGTCTGCTCCTGGACCAAAGCTGGAGGGTGTCTGGAGCCCGGCTGCGGCCAGCCCTCGGCTGAGCCCTCTCCAACCCTCCGTCCCCAAGCTGGGTGGGGGATGGCCGGAGAGCGTGACGCGGTGGGGACGACAAGGAGCATGGCAGGGGTGAGATTACAGCAGCGCGGCCGGGATTTCAGGGGACGCCTCCGGACCGCCTGGCAGGCTCGTGACGACAGGACACCGGGTCTCGCCCCAGAGATTCGGATCCAGCAGAGCCAGGACGGGGCCTGAGAATCTGCATGCTTTGAGAACCTCGGGTTTACCCAAACCAAAGGGATTCTCCGGCTTCTCTCCAGCAACCCAAAGCCACTGGTTCCTTGTTACTCCTTCCCTCTTCCACGGAGCAGAGCAGCTGGGCGCGTGACGCTGGCGTTAGGAAGGCGGGCTCTGGGGTCAGCCGGCCTGGCTCTGAGTCCTGGCCTCGTTTTCCCAGCTGTGTGGTCCCGGCCACAGGACTTAACCTCCGTGCCCCAGAGCCCTCGCAGGGATAGACACTAGCATTTCCTGAGAGCTTCCACCGTGCCGGGTGCCGCTCGGCTGTCCTCAGTTCTCCGTTAGACCCTCTCACAAGGCTACGAGGGGAGCGGCATTAGTGCCCCGACTCACAGATGAGGACACTGGGGGACAACAGTTGTAAAGACTGCGTAAGGTCATTGGTCAACGCAGTGAGATGCTCCATGTCAATCATTTGCGTATCTCAGACTGTGGCTTACTTTTACTATGGAAACGAGGGTCCGAAGGCCCTTTCCCCTCTTTTGAGAACTTTGTAAGGATTCACCTAAGAGCATGAGCCACCTGGCTTCCTTCCAGTCCTACAGAAAAGACCCGTGAATCACGTTCCACATTTTGTCCCACGTGTACGTCCTCCCACAGGAGATCAGGCTCCCCAGTGGCAGACTTTCTGTCCCCAGAGACCTGTCACAGTCCTCAGGGCCTGGGGCAGATGAGGGCGGAGCAGAGGGACCGGGAGGGTGGGGCCAGGGGACGTCTGGGGGCGGGGGGGTGGAAAGCTCGGTGGGCCCATGCCTGGGTGAGCTGCTTGCGCCTGGCGCCCGGGTGAGCGGGGAGCTCCGATGAGGCCTGACAGGGCGGCTCCCCGCCCAGCCCCGGGGAACGAACGCGGAGGTCTGCCAGCTCGCCAGACCGCCAGACCGGAGAGGACAGAGTGGGAGAGGGGTCGGGGGGGGGGTCCTGAGCCCTAAGGCAGAGCCAGCACATTCCACCCGGGAGGGCAGGGGGTGGGGACTGGGAACACTTTTCCCGGCCTCCACACATTCTGAGCTTTCTTTTCACGGATCGGGCGGGGCAAGGGGCTTTTGGCAAACCCAGGCTCATGGTGCATACCTGTTGGTACTCATCACCATCACTCAGCTGGGTGAGAAGCTGGTGATCAAACCTTCAGAACTTCGCAGCTTTAAGTACAATATTCCGAGGTGCGAGGACTCATCAGACAGCCCCACCCCCATCAGGCGCCTCCCGGCAGTGACCCCGGCGCCTGCACAGCCCCCGCCCCCCCGCCCCGTCTCTGGGTCAGCCAACACCTGCCCGACCCTGAGGACATCAGCACCCTAGACTGACGCCGATTCCCGGTCCCAGCCCCGCTCCTCACCCCGGGCTGGACTGGGTGCCCCCCTCCCCCCACGGTGCGCTCACAGCCCCCGTTCTCAGCCCACCGGGACCCGAGGGCTCACTGGCTTGCCCACTTTCTTCCCTCAGCGCTGGACGCGTCATCCTGTCCCCTTCGGTTTCCCAGTGCCGGGCACAGCCCCCAGCTGACCGTAGTCGATCGGGAAGTATTCACAGACGGGCGTGTTTGGCAAGGAGTATTCACAGACTCCTTGCCCTGCTGTGCAGCAGAGGCAGCAGTGGGGGGACAGAGCCCCCCCAGTGAGGGCCTGGCTCCTGCACTCGCTGAGAACAAGGACGAGCAGGAAGCGTCCGGCTTGGTCAGCGGTCACCGCTGGGGTGTGGACCTGTTAGCCATGTTCCCGCTAAAACCCGGGCACGTGGATGGAGCTGAGGGCGACCGAGAGGTGCCTGCCCGGCACGTGAGCTGATCCGGGGTGGACAGACGACTGAGGGGCGTGCCTGGGCCGAGACAAGAGAACGCAGGCTGATACAAGAGACCCCACTGTCCAGGCCGCTGCCTTTCTAGATACCCAGTTCCTCCTGTGGTTGCAAGTCTGATAAGGTGCACAGTGGTCGGGAAGGCCAGCTTTCAGGGGAGCCTTCACCAAGCTGGTGGGGGTGGGAGTGGGGGTGCCACAGGCTGGCTGCGCAAGGCGCCGTGGGATTTGCTGTGTCCTGGCCGCGAACATCATTCTGGCCCCTGAAGACCTCCTCCCGGCAGACAAATCGCTCTGTGCCCACTCCCCAATCCGGTAACTGCCAGATTCAGCAAGAAATAAGGAACAGCTCCTTTTCTTCCACAGAAACTAAAATTTGCTTCCTTTTCCTCTAGGCATAGCTGAGAGAGGTGGCACGGCCAAGCGGGTGGCCGTTCTGGTGTTCACGAGAGAATGGCAGGAGGAAAAGCGAAGGAGGGTGTCCACGTATTTGGGGATGACGTTGACGCCGGAGAGGGGTGGGCTCTGCGGCACCGTCACGCACCACAGGAGGATGCTTCGGTCAACGATGGAGTGAGCACACATGCAGCTGTGGTCCCGTGAGATTATGATGGAGGAGAAAACATCCCTGTCACCCGGCGACGCCGGAACCCTGACAGCGTCGTAGAACAACGCGTCACCGCCAGGTTTCCGGTGTGGCTGGTGCGAACAGCCCTACTGTGCTGCTGGGCACAGGAGAGGACAGCACCCACAATTCTGTCCCACACACGACCCGTGATCACACAACCCACGGCTGGTCGGTGTGACCGGTTCCCGTGTCC